CTACTACTACTGCTACTACTACTGCTACCACCACTACTACTACTGCTACTACTACTACTACTACTACTACGACTACTACTACTGCTACGACTACTGCTACTACCACTACCACTACCACTACCACTACCACCACTACTACGACGCCGACTACTACCTCCATTACGATGCGGACGACCAGCGACGACCAGCTACTACTACTGCTACCACTACTAGTACTACTACTACTGCTACTACTACTACTACTACTACTAGTAGTACTACCACTACTACTACTACTACTACTACTACTACTAGTACTACTACCACTACTACTAGTACTACAACTACTACTACTTCTACTGCTACTGCTACTACTACTACTACTACTACTACTACCACTACTACTGTCACTGCTCGTGCAGGCCGGTGTAAAACACTGTAGCTTGGGCAGTGCAGTGCAGGGTATGGGTTTATTGTGGAGTAGGCAGGGTAAAGGCTAGTGATGCAGGAAGTTGCTTACGCGTGCTGGGATACGCGTATAAGCTGCGGAAGGTGGGCAAATAGGGTTTGCAGCATACGACAGGGTAGAGTTGCTTAGGTGTCGGAGGTCTTCAGTAGAATTTTCGAAAACGGACAGCCTTTGGACCTTCGGTATGCGCCATGTTGGAACCCTGCAGCCCCAATGTGTCCCAATTCGGAAAAAACGGTCGTCCGATGGTGGAGCGGCTGACTCCCGCGTTGGGTTTGCAGTCCTTAGTTTTTGTGCGCTAGACAAGTTTTGAGCATTCTTGAGCTGAGACATGGCCGAACCCCGAAGCAGTAGTTCTGGCGTGCGTGAATTTTTTGGTTACAAGCCAATCCGACATCGCAAAGTGTTGAACAGCGTTATTCACGCTTGGCTTTGTTGAGGGCCTTCGCGTCAACGAAGGTTTTGTAATCAACACATACAAAGCTCGTGTGCGGATCCGTTTCAATTCGCTTGCCAGGCCGCATGGTCGTTGGTGGGGCCCGGCCTGGACAGGTGACTCATTTGCAATCTCGTCTTGGAAATGATTGAACCATCCGCCCTCACCCCGAGGTTACAACAAGCCCTGTTTGCTGCCGGTTTGCTCCAGGCGAACCCCGGGCGCACCTTCGAGTATGCTTTAGCTGAAAGTTGTGCCGAGCATTCTAGCCAAATGCCACAAGAGCTTGTCTGCGGAGAGATATCGCACACCCGAACGCCGACTGGAGTTAGAAGTGTTCAAGTCATGAGTCGGAGCCACATGGGCATGGTAATATTTACTCGTAGGACTCGTAGCATGCATATGGCACCTGAGAACATCGAGCGCGAAGCGTGCGTACGTGGAGTTAGTTACCACTCTCACATGAGAAATCAGAAACAGCCAAGCTTTCGAATGTCCTCTTGTAGTCTGTTGCGATTTTTCAGGCTTGCAGGCCGGCAGACAAGTGTGGCGCAGGTGATCCCGCAGCACGGCAGGCAAGGAGAAACCCGGAACCGGGGTGTAGATGATGACGGAAGCCAGCACGCTGCCGACAGGATGCTTCTGCTGCGAAGAAGCCCAAGCGCGAGCGCGAAGAGAAAGGCACATGGGATCACATAAATGAAGAGCTGGCGTTGCCCTTGTGCCAATAAGTCGATAACCGCGAAGTTCTTCAGTGAGGAGATCGAGGAGGCAAAAAAGACAAGAAGGACGATACGGTCAAAAAGAGCAAGAGGGACAAAAAGGTGGGTCAGACTAGACTGTCTATGCTGTGGGCCTGGACAGATACTGTTGTGGGACATGTCAGCCAGCGAAGATCCTAGATTCAGGGCAAGAAAGACAGAAGGAAGGAAGCGGAGGCTGGATCTCTTCGGAAACGCCATGCCAGAACTTTTTCCATGGAGTCCCGAAGCAAAAAAAATTTTGCGCTTTCGGGGAACGACTGGCCTGTGGACGGTCAGGAAGGCAAAGATGTCGAGGATCCTCGTGCAAGGTGCTCGATCGGCCCACATCAGTATGTTTGACTCGAAGGGTCGGTTAGGAAAAAGGGCTTTCGTGACTGCCTTGGTTTGCCCGAGGCCTCGCGCCGCGTTCCGGAATTGCCTTGAGCTGAGGGGCCTCAAAGATGTAAGGATCAGCGCTGGTGAGGTTTCCATGGTCTGAATCCCTAGGACCTAGGAGCCATTATCTCTAGCAATGCTCTTAAAAAAAGGGGTGGTCGAGACGAGCCGCAGGCAAACCGATTCACTAGACGTCAATGTTTGGAATGTAGAGGCATGGCCAGGCTTTGGATGTCCTTTTTGCGGCCGGACCGGGCTGAGGTCTGGTAGCTCCTCTTCCGATGTTGAGGTTGGGCAACTCGTGGGTACTGTCGGTCCCCCGGAAGGGCAAGAGAGTCAAGGACTTGCACCTCCTTTTCCAGCTAGGCTGGTCCATCCATCCTGAGATCCGGCCCAAGACCAAAAGGCAGCATGGCACAAGCGCAAGTCTGATTTGCAGATGGGAAACCGCATCCTTCGGGCATACACAGAAGGACGCCCTTTCCTTGCATAATGCTTCGTCTCGCAGGAGGCAGTCGCAACGTCAATTTCAGCATTGCCAACCAGGCACTGGGTAGCACATCTCCGAAATCCGTGCGGCAGAAGTGAACTCCACGTCGCCAGCAGCAGATGCTGCAATGGTCGCCAAGTGCACCTACAGGATCAATTCCGAAATCGGCACGGCAATTACTGTGCACTGTCCTGAGACCTGTGGCAGGTTGATGTTGTTTCCTACCGCGCTTGCGGCGAACACCTCTGGTTTCCCAACCCTCAATCGAACGTTTTGCCGGGGACTTGGAATTCATGCAGACAGGGCAAAGGAGGGGACTGTGGACTAGATCTGAACAGGATGCAGCACTCCTTGCGGAAATGCGTGCCTGCTTCGCCCGAGGGTGCCAGTCGAATTTGAATGATCTGAAGCATGAGTGTATTGCTCGGTTCGTACCAGTCACTTTCCCTGGTGTCCTCAGTGTTCTCGCCGCCTTGTGAATGCATTCAAGGACATCCCGGTTACAATGCCATGCTTGCCTGATTTTGGCAAGTGTTGATCGAGGTGCGAACGCTGCAAGAGGAGGGTGCCACAGAGGCACTGCATGGAGTGTCGGGGGACAGGCTTGAGTAAGCCCGCGAAAGTAAGTACCCACGGACCTGCAGCCGTAAACGCGGAAACGTCAGGAAGACCGCTCCAATCTGTTACTGGTAGCACATCTGTCCCCTGACGAAAATGTACTAAAAGCAGTCAAACTATTTTTTACCCTCGATGCTTCGAGGCTCGGACAGCTGAGAGGCGGAAACGGAAAGTCTTCCTTCATGTGCGACGAGTTCTTTTGCCATGCCCTGAGCAATCGTGACTGCTCCTGAAGGCAAACGAACAGGCGGTCGTCTTTTGTCTTAGGTGATGATTGCTCTGCGAAGTTGACACTCTCCACCTGACCAAGCTGCCGTGAACAAGAGCGAGTGTGAAAGCTAAGTAAGCCGCAGGCTGGTGTCTTTAAACTTTAGCAAGGCCGTTGATGCGCAGCAGACCTCGTGCAGGATGGAGCACACGCCGGCCGATCCTCGAAGCAACTGCACATTAGCCAGGATGTCCACTGAAACAACACATTGGCAACGGATCCCAGATTTAGTTGTAGGTACGTGGAACAGTCAGCATAGAATCTCTGGCAGCCACCACAACCACGAAAATAACTGTAATGAACCATACACCCAAGTAAGAACACGCGTGGAAGAGCCCGATTTCAAGTATAGGGCGTAATGCCATAGAGCGCCGCTGCTGGCAGGCTTGCTTTCATAAGTTCACTGAGCAGCTCCCATTCTGCCACGGCATCGAAAAGGCATTGGCCATATGATTTGTGAGCTGTTCCGGTATGACGCGTTCGTTCGGGCCCTAGTCTTCCGATGTCTCCGGGATGCTTGACACAGTCGGACTGCTGCTTGAGCCCAGGATCTACGTGATTTCGCCCAATGGACAACAACAGTGCGCTGGTGAATACAAGCAGTCGCAAGATTCGGCCAACGGTTGCCCTGTGCGCCAGGAGTTCGGGGGGATAGCAAACGCAGCTGCTGCACACACCATGAACATAATCTGAGAGGTATGGGAGCAAAAAGGAGGTGGCTTCTGGATGTATACAGGTCCAACAACTCCCTGATGCTGCAGTAGCGTGTTTAGATCTTTGCCTGCGTACTCAGAATGTCATGCCTGAAGGTGCGAATGGTATGTGGATTATCGGGGGGCAAGATGCCAAAGACAAAAACTTCAAGTGCTCGCACGGCTTCATCTTCTGCCGAACTCAAAACGCTGGAGTCCGGGCTCTACGGATCTCTACATGTTTGGTGCGTGTCTGGCGATCGTCAGCCTTGTCGATTGAATGCTTCTTGAGGTCTCGCCAGAAAAGATCGCCGGAGTTCCTTACCAAATTCGTTGAGTCTGCTGTAAATTGTGTTGGCATCTGGATTTGCTGCGCTAGGCTTGGCGTGATGAGGTCTGGGAAAGGCTGAGTGGCGAGTATTTCGTCGAGGATCGCAACATTGTCGCCCGACTCTCGGGTGCGAGGACAAAAATTAAAAGATCACCGGCATGACTGTGGGAGGTCACGAATGTTCTGCACAAACCTTCGCCCCTCCGGGTTGCCAGCCCGAATGGACAGCAAAGATGCGCTGGTGAGTACGCCGCAAGCTGAGTATACATTTGTGACCCAACACTGGCACACCAGTCGCCGTATGCCGAGGCACTGATGCCAGATTGCACTGCAAATGGGCTACCGGTTTGGGAGCACAAGGCTGGAAGGCAAGGCCTGTCCCACAAACAAAGCATCCAAGTTAATCGGCTTGAAATTCTTCTGCGAAGGTGCTACTTGTACTGCGGGACGAACGGCTGGCCTTCAAGCTTGCTCGTGATGGCCCGGCGCTTCAAGCATGCATGCCTGTGGCCAGGATCTTGGATCTTGGGTGGCTCGGATGCCAAAGAGAAAGGATTCAAGTGTGCGAAAGGCTTGCCGGGGCATTTCCACACACGCACCCACCCGCGCACGCACGCGCATACACACACACACACAACACGTGCCATACAAATCGAAATTGTCCACTGGGTAGGATGCACGGTCGAGCTACTTGAAGCCCCGCTGAGCCCTTAATGCCCTTATCAGTACAAAGCGGCACAATTTGCAGGCGTTGTCTATTCAAAGCGGGCCAGTGGAGGCTTGATGCCGGACAAGGCCGTTTCATACTGCGTAATGGGAACTCTTGATTGATACCCCCCACCCCCCGTGCAAGGTAGGTCAGCTGGTGGCGTGATCCGACCCCCCCCCCCCCCGGCCCCCCAAATAAATTTGCCAGGTTTCAGTCGGCAAATGAAGTCGTAATGTTTGTTTGTGGAAATCGCCAGACGCTGGGGACTTTAAGTTCCTGGGCTTAGGTGCTTTACACTGGGACGAAACCCTCACCCTAAACCTTCGACCCGAAACCCTCAGCTAATACAACACGATTGTTCTGCGGCGGCCGGGTTATTAATCAGGGGGGGTTGCCTTGCCTGGGCTAGGCGGATTGAAAAACTGAGTGTTTTGCACAGGCCTTTGATTTACCAGTTCTTTCTTGGCCACCTCTGGAATTTCTTCACTCCAGCAATGCTTGGCATAATCTTTAAACCCCTAAAGCCTGAACCCGAAACCTTGAAACAAGAGCTGGTCGGAAGGAGCAGTGGTTCCGAAAACCCTAAATCCCTGAACCCTTCAACCCCCCTAGACCCTCGAGTGTGAGAGGCAGTCATCAGAGAAAAGCCAACCATGTAGAGGCTCACCCTTGCTGTTGACACGCCTTGCAGAGACTGTCCTAACCTCCCCTCAAACCCTGGACCCCAACTGCCCTAAACCTCTAAACTCAACCTGAACCCTGAACCCTTTCTAAGTCTGCACGCAAGTTGGTTTTTGCAGATGCTTGGGGTAGAAGGTTGCCACTAATCATAGGGGGGGTCTTGGCAAGGTTGTTTTTTTCCAAGGGGTGGGGGCTCTGGTGAAAGAGGCCAGCGCCTTTAAAACATGGTTTCAGCTAGGTCCGAGGCCCGTGCGGAATGCCTTTAATCACAGGGGGTTAATTCATCAAGAATTGACATTACATGTTCTGTACAGGCGTGCTTGCCGATGTTGTGCAGGTCGGTGGCGGTTGGCTTCGCCTCCATGGGGACAAATTCCACGAGGACTCTGTGCCTCTCTAAGCTTTCAACAGCACTTGACACCAGCAGAGTTGCAATCGTGGTCCACCTGACATGTGTCGACGATATGTCTGAGGCCATTACAGTGACCGTAAAGCCTTCACGGCTGTATGTGCAGACACCCCATGGCCAGCACAGGCTCAATGCGAAGTTTGCTCGTTCTGACCTGGAAGAACAAAGTCGTCAACTCGATTGTCAGGTGTTCGGGAGAGTATGTCCCAGCAGAAGATCGCCTGGCAAATGGCTATCCGCTTTGGGAGCACGCAGGTGGAAAGTGTTGGCTGTATTCAGGCCGGGTTGAAAGAAAGGGTTTTAGCCTTTACCGAGCACTTGACACGGTTGCTGCAGGTAGCAACGGAATGTGGATAATCGGTGGCACAGATGCTGCAGCCAAAAATTTCGAGTGCACACGTGGTGCCAGACGCCCAGCCATTAAGACACTACACAGCATTCTACACATTTTGCCGTCGGACTATGTACTGAGGTGATTTACTGTCAAACCGTGCACAACGGGCAGCCCGAACCTTTGTCCGATGGAACTTCTGTATGCAACAATAGGAGCCGTACATGTCCGACGGTGGCAGGATGCCAGACAAGATGGTCGGCAATTGGCTACGGCTTGATGGGGACAAGTTTCGTGAGGCAAACCGCGAGGTAGATGTCGTGAAGTTTGGCTGGCAGTGATTGCTTTCTCCTACAGAAGGGTACGTGGTACATCAGGGCTCGGAGTCTCGGGACGTGAGGGTGGCCGTCGCGAGACAAACAGGATGTGTGTTGCCGTTGACACATCAGGATGCTGCCATTCTGGTGGGAACCAAACCTCCCAGCCTCCACATCCTCTGTCCGAATGGACAGCCGAAGCCGCCTCTGCAGGTTTTACACTGTGTGTTTGATGAAGCCCCAGCCATCCGCATGACAGGTGCGGCGGAGAGTATGTGCTCGTTGGTGACCGTTCACATGGCCAGCCCACATGGAAGCAAAGGCGGACCGATTTACGGACCGCGGGTTCAGGGAGTACGGAGCAGTTCAACAAGTACAGCAGACTCCTCGAAGGAGTGACCACTAACTGACTCGATATACGTGTGATGGCATTCCGAAGGATTTGCTCTGGAGCCGATGGTCACTGGATGGTGGCGGCAGTGCGCAAGGACTTTCGGCCGAGAGACCGTCCCCCTGCCTGCAGAAGTTTTTGCAGGACGCAGACTCTGAGAAGCCCTTGCTGAGATGTTCGGGCCTCGGAGGAAGGCCCGCGCGGCCAGCCGGAGCTGTCCTGCAGTCTCAGGTGACCAGCCCCACCTCGGCGAAACTCCCGACAAGGAGGGGCCCTAGCAGATGAGCCCGAATGCAGCAGGAGCTCGAGCTTCGCATTTCGCGTCTTTGGGCTCCAGATCGTGTAGGGGCATTGCCAGCTTAATTGCTTGGTGTCTTCATGAGCCGATGGCGGCGGCCGGCCAGGATGCAAGCAGTTCAGAAGTCGCTCAGATCGTCATGGTGCCACCGTGCCGCCTCATCGTGCGAGCTACAGCGGGGGCGAGAGTGATTGGCAAGCAAGGTGCCAGCATCAAAGCAATCCGCGCAGCGACTGGAATAAATTCCGTGCGAGTTCTACAAGATGAGCTGCCCGAAGCACTGAAGCGCCGGGAGGAGGCTATAGTCATAATATCCTGCGGCGAGGAGGCGATGCTAAGACAAGCAGTAGCTATGGTTCTCGACAAAGTTTTCGATCGTTCTGGGCTCCCGGACTCCGCCGATCGCGAGCGTGAGCGCCCACATGTTCTTGACATGATCGTGCCGGAGCGTGCGGGGGGTGGCATTGTGGGGCAGGGAGGCGAGCGCATCAGAGCCATTATTGAGGAGCTAGGTTGCGAAGTCCAGGTTTCTCGTGAACCTTTGGCTGGCATTGCTTCTCAGAAGAGGGTCAAATTATTGGCACGGGATCGAGTTCCGATAGAAGCCGCGCTGTGGCGTTTACAATCCACGCTCAAGGAGCTCGTGGTCTCGGAGGTGCTGAGATCAGAGCACTTCGAGCTGCGGGAGGCGCTGATGAGTGAGGCAGAAGCTGCAATGAGCGCTGAGAAGGAGAAGTTTGCCAGCAAAGGCAAAACAGAAGTACCCCTTCGGATACTGTTGGCCCAAGGCGAGGCAGCAACTGTGGTTGGAAAGCTCGGCGCGAATGTTGCGCGATTAAGAGACCTGGCTTTGGTTTCCATAGATGATGCGGAGTCTCCTCCATTCCACCCGAGCGAGAGGATTTGCAGTGCGGCTCGGGCAACTTTGGCTCAACGTTTGAGGGTGTTGAGGTTGGTGTTGGGCGACTTGGCCACACGCAGTGCTGCCATCGCACGAGAGGAGGAAGCCGCGAGGCCCCAGGAAGCTTCCGAAGGCATGCGTCAGGTTAGCGTGTCTTTGCTCTTTCCTTGCGACCGCTGGGAGGAATTGGAGCCGGTCCTGCAAACGGAGCGCAGTTTGTTTCCGGATGGTTTGGAGCTTGAGGTGCAGGACTCCGAGCACCAGTCAGCTCGACTGAGAGCGGTCACCCTACGGGGCCCAGAAGAGGCCGTTGCTTTGTCTGGCTGGAGGCTTCACAGGTCTTTAGAACCATGGGAAGTATCTGAACCTCCGCCAAGGGTGGCACCTGCCGATGAGGACGATGACGAGCGCACTGAGCGGGGCAAAGGCAAGTCGAAGGGCAAAGGCCAAGGGAAAGGTGTCCAGTCACAGGTTGCCGGTGCTTCGATTGAGCGAAGAGATCCCGAAAGGTCAAACCAACCAAGAGTCGCCCCAGCCCAAATCCCAGCAAAGTCTGCAGGAAGCAGTGTGGTTGAAGTCACCACCAGCCCAGCCCCTTCCACAAACGGGGTGGTTTCAAGCACGGCTCACTCAAGAGGGGCAACTATGATGGTGGCAGTATCGGACTACCGTTTGGCGAGCTACCTGGCCAGTGACATAAGCGGCATAGCCAGCAGAGCTGGCGTAAAGCTTCATGCGAAACCACCGGAAGGGATTGCACCGGCAATTCTCGAGATATACGGATCACTCGACTCCGTGGCGCGCGCGTGCTACTTCGTGCAGCTGCAAATGTGGCTACGCTCGATGCTTTGCAGTGGCATGTAAGCGATACAGTCTTTGACACGCTTCACCCGGCCGTTGCATTGCATGTGCCGTCGAGCGTTTGAGGGAAGTTTCACTGGCCGATCATCCGAATATTGATGAAAAATGAAGGGCACTTTTGTCAGGAAGAGGACGTTGCTTTTTCTGTATCTCTTGTGTCATGCTCCGATGATGATCACCTTCACGTTTGTAGCTGCCACAGCGTAACATGGAAGCTGTTGCAAGTAGGACTGCGTCCTAGGTCCTCTCTTCTTGGAGTCGTCTAGAAGGTGAGGACATGGAGAAGGCTGCGCCGAACCCCGCGGATGGCACTCCTCCCCGAACGTTGCCGCCGACAAATTCCTCTGTACACTGTGTCTATGCGTGGGAGTCCTTGTCCAGGATGACCAGATCAAAGTGCCGGACTCGGACCGAAATACGAGCTCCTCGAATGGACCATGTGCCCTGATGAGGTATCATCAACTTCTTCGCTTGGGAAGCCTGTGAAGTTGCATGTGTCCACACCAAGTGGGCAGCAGAGCTGCGGAGGACTGGGCCTCAGGCTTCCGCAGAGTGTTCACACTTCTTCGGCCAGTTGGCAAGGTGAGTACCTGCTGGTTGCTGGCGAATCTGCAAACGGCAGCCCTCTGTGGAAGCAGATGGGTGGGAAATATTGGCTCTATTCAGGAGATGTTCACGAAGTTTCACAAGTCCAGCTGCAGATCTATGGGTTGCAGACAAGATCATGCAAGAGCAGATTGCTAGAGTTCGCTCCAATCATCTGTGCAGGAACCAATGGCTTGTGGATTATTGGAGGAAGCGGAGCCAAAAGGAAAAACTTCGACTGCTCCCGTGGAGTAATCTACTCGTCCCGACCTTTGTTGGGCTCTTGCTTCAGTTTAGATTGAAAAACCGGAAAAATGTCAAGGCAGACCCCACATGGAGGCCAATTGCCACACCAGGTCGCTCGCTGCTTTTTGTTTGGAATGTTACTGAGAGTCGTCTGAGAGTCTAGGATGTCTGGGGTGCCGCAGGTCAGTGGGATCTGGCTGCGTCTGCAAGGGCAGGAGTTGGGGGCCCAGATGTAAACATGAGAAGGTCTGGTATGAGGGGCTGTGTCCAAAAGAGGTTTGTGGAGGACAGCAAGATCAGCATTGTTCAGTGAGCTGATCGCTTCAGCTCCTCAAACACGAAGAGGTTGCTGTCCGCCGTAGATAGCGCAGTGCAGCGTTTGCATGCACGGCTGCAGCTTGGCAGCATACCTGCAGGGTTCTGGTCGTACCGGTTGTTCTTTTTATCATCGCATTGGGTGCCCTGCTGAGAAAGAGGGCCCGTGCTGTCGCACCGAGTGCACCGCTCGCACGCTAAGCGGAGATGAAAGATCATACGCTTATGCACTTGTGAAATCCCTGCCGTTGCATTCGTGCGTATGCTTGTCTTTCAAGCAGACGTTGAACCTGCAGCACTCCCGACATCGCGTCGAGGAGGATGTGGACACGTGTTCTTACAAGAGCCGGAAATTGTCCGCAGCCGTTGCTACAGAGGTGCACCTGCCAATTGAGCCCTTCACGAAGCATTGCTGTGTCCCGACGGACGGAGACCAGCCAGCGGGAATCACACCTTTGGGATCCTTTGCCTCCCGCACTTACGGACAGAACATAAGACTGATACAGGACACAGCGAGAATGCAGAGTCGCAATACGTCCCCCGGCTTCCTGCAAAGTCGCTCCCTCGCCTAGTAATGAGAGTTTCGGAATAAGAGCCAAGCACCAGATAAAAAAGGCAGGCGACAAAGTTTCAGTGCCTTCAGCTAGTGGCAGTTATAACGAAGTTTTGTGGACGAAAGCCATAAACGGCGCAATTCAGCAACACAAAGTTACAATCAAACGTTCGACCTGCAACGTCTTCTGAGCTTCCAGCGCTGCGGTGAATGTGAGCGAGTTACTCGTGAAGCCGTTTCCAGGCCAGTTTGAACAGTAGTTATACTTTATGCGCATGATCCGCTTGGTTGCATTGGGCGAGACCGTATCATGTTACATGCCCTCGACAGCAAGGCCTGGTAGCGGCATGTCGCACATTCGTGGGGAGCTTGTCCTGTGCAAACGAGCCTTTCGGAAGACTCAAGATTATACTAGATGTCGAGGTTCAGCCGAAGAGGAGGCTGAAATTCATCCTTGTGCATCGAGCTGCAGGCAAACCTAAGCTTTGCAGGACTTTTCCGGCATCATTGAGATCGCCAGACAGGTCGTCGAGGAGCGGTACTCGTAATTTGCACTCCACTTCTCTAGCAAGTTCTGCAGCGCTCAGAGCTCGTTCAGGAGCCTGATGCGTTTCTGTTCGACGAGCACTGCACTACAGAGGTCAATCAGAATGGGCCGAGCAATCTGGGGAGTCAGCCGGCTTCAACGTCCTCAGGAGTTGGAGGCTTTTTGGCTTCCTGACCTTACCATGCATGCTGAGACCTTCGTATTGGAGGCAGGGCGCAGCTTTGCAGGCATTTCCTTGCCGTGCAATCAATATATTGCAGGCGAGTGGCTTTGCAGGCATCATCGGGGCATATGCCACGGACTAATTCGTCCCGTCGGGTGCAGAACAGGCAGACGTGTTGTGGCTACCACTGAGGTTTTGTACCCGGCAGCGCATGGACGTGGCGCTCACATGGCGCATGGCAGCTATATGGCGGGCCCAGACAGTTGCAGGCCGTAGATGTCCAGCCACATGCTAAGCCACGTTTCTCAGGTTGCCAAGCACGCAAGAGGCAGAGGCTTTGGAAGGGCATTGTGCTTGATGCCAAGCATCTGGGCTCAGCATCAGTTCGGAGCAACTTCGGACCACTGGTGCTGCACTTGTCGCTGGCATGTGGCTGTGACTCACATGTTTGCGAGCATCGCGGTCACTACTACTGCGGAGCAGAGCAAGGAACATCGGCGAAGAGACTTTAAGCAGATCGTTTGCAAATGTTGCAATGATAAGGGGAAGCTTTTGAAGGATTCATTCACATCGTGCTTCCGTGCCATGGGGTTCATGTCTCGAAACGGCTGCCCCCGGACTTTGCAGAAGCTGGTGCAGCGCTTAAAACTTGTGGTGTTGACATTTGTCATGCAGTTGCAGATTCGTGTGCGAGTGCAGCTGCACATAGTTCTACTGGGACTCTAGCGTCTGTTGTCATTGAAAAAGCGACCGGCAGCTCCCATGCCAGCGTCAACCCCAAAGAGTGAAAGAATACCTAGAGGTCGAAGACGGTCGAAGTCTAGAGCGAGCACCCAAGCCTCCCGCAAGACCACAATGCGCCTCACACTTTGGCGAAAGCACGACTGGCACCCCACAACACGCACCGCCCATGGAGTCCTACCCCCATAGCTGTGCTGGAACTCCTGGACTTTTGCGGAAGCATTGATTTCGGAGGTTCCCAGCCAAAATTTGCAGGTGGTACGAATGTATGCCCGGGCACAGCATACCCGCACCAGCCTTGTGTTCTCACGGTAGTTATGCCGCTTCTGAGTTCTGAATGTGCTTGCCAAGTGCATTTCGACCGGTTTGGCCGGACACTGAAGGAGATGGAATGAGAGTAGTGCAAGAAAGCGCGCTCAGATTTGTCTTCAGTGTCTAGATTAACAATCGCTGCGACTGTTTGTAAGTTGGTACAGAGTTGCATGCCGACCCAGGTCGGTGTGATTATGCGGCTTTTCAAAAAAGACACAAACTTACTGAGTCTTCTTCTGCATTCAATCAGTGGGCTGAGGTTTTGTCGTGCCTGTGGCTACTAGCAATAGGTGCAGGCGGCGACACTGTCAAGAAAGTCAGATCCTTACAGTGTTGCCTGGATGTGGCGGTCCATTGTCGGTCGAAGATACCCTGCTTGCAACAATGTTTGTGCGACTGCTTGCCAACGTTGCAGGCGCATGCGGTTATCTTTGCATGAACAACTCTTCGACAAATTGCAGGTTGTCAGCACTCCATGGTGGCCGCCTGGAACAGAAAAAACTGCAGCAGCTTTGCTGTACTTGCAGTGGCAAAGCACTCCTGAATACTCCTGCTTTTAGTGGGTATTTCACTTATTGCTTTAAGTTGCGACGCGTCAGCAAAGGAAAGCGTTGGGATAATATCACATGGCTTCGTTTTCATGACTGCCATGATGGAGCTGAATGAAACGTGGCCTGGCACAGGGTAGTAACTCTGTCTGGATTCTTCACTCCATGGGCTTGGCACCAGGCTGCAAAAAACTGCCGTTCAAGAGATTCTCGATGTGCACGACATCGCAGTCGCAGCGGGCGCCAATTTGTCGGACCTGGTGACTCAGCTTACGAAACACGGCTCGTTACCGGAGTCTGGAGTCTAAGCTGGTTGTGTGAGGTGGACTGCTACGTGAACGTTCCTTCCGGGAGAGGTCCAGTGGTAAGGGAAGCTCTTTTGTCGGCCATGCCCATCAGCATCCAGCAGCACCCACCCGCATTCACTGTCACTCGGCTGCTGTCGAGAGGATCCACAGTCGGCTTGGTGTTACTGTTAAAGACTGTTTGGGTGCCTTGTCTTTGAGTGCATTTCACACGAGCAATGAGGTCGTTGAGATGCCAGGTGAATACAAGGACTTGACTGGCAAATAATGCAAATGCAAGTTTCAGTCACCGCTGGCGGCAACACCTGGAAGCCTGTGACAGTTCGTGCCCAACTCCATCATGTGCACTGCTGCACTGGCGACTTCAGAGGGGCAGCGACGGACCTGGAAGCCTCCTGCCATGATTTGATGCTAGCCCAGATCTTGTGTGCAGGGGAGGGGTCCTTATTCGCGGGAATGCACGGCCGGCACATGTCGGTCCTGCTGCCCGCCTTGAACGGGAGAGTCCAACAGCTTAAGTTTTAGAAGCGTGACAGCGAGAAGATGTGGGACTAAATTACAGGAATACTGCATGGTTTGGGCTCGATGCCGCCAAAGTCCTGAACAAAACGCGTGAAGCCCGACCCACCAGAAGACCATGTTTGGGACTGCGCCGTCTTTTAGTTGAATCATGAGTACTGGGATGATGTGTGTCTTGTGCGTGCGCTTGTAAATCGAGCCTACATGGGGATTGGGTGGTCTTGATGTGTTATGATGCCACTGGTGTGACTGCTGTATGTCTCACGGGCATGCCGCATGGCTTTCCTCCTGCGGCGATGCCATGTCATATCATATCGCACGTCACCTTCTCGACTGGCTAGTTGTTGTGACTTCTTGGCATGTGATGTGACTTTTGCCGAGTCGTGCGTCACCCTGGGGTAAAGCGGCCGTCATGCGACTTTCGACGGCGTAAGGGGCTTGGGGCCAGCACCAAGTACCTTGCGTTAAGTAGAGGGGCAGACACGGACCAGAAATCAGCATAGTCTTGATCGAGACAATTTAGGGGAGGGGGTGGTTTGGGTGGGAGGGTAAATTGAGAGATTCGCAGTCCGATCGGTCTGTTTTGGCGGCATAAACTGAAAGGTTCGTAGCATGGTTTCTGTGGGAGCCCACCACCGCCACCGCCACCGCCACTGCCACGACTACTAGTACGACTAGTACTAATGCCTCTTTTTTCTTCTTGCATCTACTCGTACCAAGTTGTGCCTGAAGCTTGGANNGAAGTGGCCGGTCTCGCATCTCAGTCATCAGTACTGTCTTGTGGGTCAAGCTGGGCAGTAAGGGCAGCAGCCGAGTCCCTTGTAAAAAAAATCTACTGGGACGCTACCTCTGCTACGACTGCTTCTGCTACTGCGCTACGGCTACAGCTGCAGCTACGACGACGACGACGACGACGACTACTACTACCACCAACACTTCTCCTACCCCAGCTACCACCACCACACCACGACGACGACTATTATTGTTATGACTACTACTACTACTACTGCTGCTGCTGCTGCTGCTGCTACTACTTCTTCTACTACTTGTTCTACTACTTCTTCTACTACTTGTTCTACTAGTTCTTCTACTACCTTCATAGCCACCGCCGTCATCAACGACGTGAGCAGCTTCATGATCATCATGGCGATGACAATCAGTGTGCACTTCCTTTTTGTCATGAGCCTTACGGCCATCACCGTTGTGTTGCAACGGTCGGTCTCGTCCCACGGCACCACCATCACCCGTATGACTGTCATGATCGTTCGTTCCGGACCGTCATCACCACTAGCAGCAATATCTCCGCCATCCTCTTGGTCGCAATCATAGCCAACTTCATGAACATAAACATAACCATCTTGCCTGCTGCCGTTGCTGCCAGCACATCATGTCGCGACCACCATCATCATTACCTTACCTTCGGCATCACCATTACCAAAGTCACCTTTCTCAAGACCACCTACAACAACAAACACAAACAGCAACAATTGCCTTCAGCGATGTCACACGTGTGTTGTTGTATGGGGTAGGCTTGTGTTTGCATAGTACTACCACTACCACTACTTCTACTACTACTACTACTACTACTGCTAGTACTACTACTACTACTACTGCTGCTGCTGCTGCTACTGCTACTGCTACTGCTACTATACTACTACTACTACTACTACTACTACGACGACTACTACGACTACTACGACTACTACGACGACTACTACTACC